CTAGGCAATGTACAAGAAGAAACAGGCAGACAGAAGAGTATTAACTCAGTTTCATAGTCACAAAGTCAATTACACAGGCACACACGTACATACGTATGCCCACACACATACACACACTGCTTCTTCCAGTCGGAGTCAGGCCTGAGGAAATGACCTTGGAGGTTCACTGCAGGAAGGCATAGCTCTTTCTCTTTCTTCCACTTCCAGTGCTCTCTTCCATCAGGCTCCAGTGTTTCAAGCTTGAAGGCAGGTAGAAAACTTTGAAGGCAATCACACTTATGTTGCCTGTTGGCGGGTGTTCTGGAGAGCTGCCCAGGAAGGAGGGAGGAGGAAGTCCTTTTGGGCACAGTTAGCTGCACACATCTTTGGAGTCTGATGACCTACTCACCAGCTGTGAGACCGTGAGCAAGTTTTGTGACCTTTCTGAGCCTGTACCTCACCTGAAAAATGGGAATGATGACACTGCTTCCAGTCCCAGGGCACCTCTGTGCCGAAACGAGATGATACAGGCCAAGTCCCTGGCACACAGTACATGCCAGTGGGTCAGTGGGGGTCACTGTCTTTGTTCCAGAGCACAAAGACCTCTGGCTCTGGAAACAGAGGGCAAGGCTGTGTGCTCTAGGGCAGGCTACTTTGCTTTGCTTCCACTTCTCCAACTGTGAGATGGAGCTGCAGCAGGACAAGGTGTGGGGGGCAGACATTTCTGTAGCAGGCTGCAGGTGTCCCTCACAGATCCTTCCTTTGCCTCAGTGGGCTCCACCTTGGTGCCACTCATCTGAGACCATGACTGATGGACTGCTGGCAGGCACCTAGCCCTGGGCTCTACGGCACCCAAACCTGCTGTGCCAGGAAGTAAGGCTTCCTGGAGCTGAGGCTGCTCCCAAGTTTCATCTTCTGTTGGGGCTCAGCCTCTGGTCTCATTTTTGGCTGCTGTGCCAACCCCTGGAACTAGAGAGCAGTGGTCCAACTCTCCAGAACTAAACTAGGATGTCAGGCAGCTGGAGAAGGTTGGGGATGTGGTTTTACTGCTTATTTATTTTGCTCTACTTTTCTATCAAAATTATTTCCTGCTATGCCTTTTAAAATAGTGATTTTGAACTCTCTCATGGTTGGTGTGTGAGGTTTCTTCTGAGTTTTTTTTTTTAAAGAAAACAAAGGGAATGGTGAAACAATTTTTTTGCCCCTCCCTTTAACAAAATCTATCAAAAATTAACATGAAGGTGAAATTTTCTGACTTCAGCTCTGTCCTTGAGACCTGTAAACTTTTCCTGAAATTTCAGCAGTGATGTGCAGTTTTCCTGACAGTCTCACTGCAGTTGGTGAGATGGAGTTTGTAGGAATGCTTGCCTCTTAGCAATGACAAACACTCAAATTACCATATTTTCTTAAAGAGAGAAGCCACTTGCCTGAAGCCAGTACCTACCAAGAGAGAGATGCTTGGGGTTGAAACGGTCTTTGGCTATGGCTTTCACGAGGAGGGATACGTAAAAGACCACCTATGAGGTCTAAGATAAATGGATAGCAAGAATTACCAGAAGAACAAGGAGATCTACCCCTACCACTAGCAAAAAAAGAAGTCCACCTCGAGATAAAAGTACAACAAATTTTGTCAAGTTGAAATGATATGATTGCCCAGTGTGGTCTTTATGGCATTACCTTTTAGGGTCAGGGTTTCTCCAAGTTGGCTGCCAATCAAATGGCTTTTTATTGCTCAGACACAGGTGCTCTAAGCTGGGCACAGCTGACGTTTATGGTCCCTACTTGTTCATTAGGGAGGTAGAAAATCAAAAGTAAGGGCAAGCGTGGGTCTGGGAGCACTGCTGAACTCAAATCTCTGCTCCAGCAAGTAACGCCTCTCGTCCCTGGAGTACAGGCTGGCTCCTCAATCTCTCTGCCTCTCATTCCTCTCCTTAAAATGGGGTTGGTTTGGGCTCAGATTAAAGAAATGAAAGGCCTTTAAAATGTAACTGTGCCATATACTGTGTTAAGAATTTAATAAATGAAAAAAATCTAAGACTTTATATTGATAGAAGATAACTTTTACCTTCCAACTCCCTGTTGTGAAGGATAAGCAGATACTCTGGCCATGTATATGCAGGTGAAAATGGGAAGAGCCAGGTTATCACTGCTCAGCATCTCTAGGGATTTACTTTTACAATTCACAAAAGTTTTGAGAGAATCATTATTCAACATACAGTAAACACTCTAAACTTTCCACATTTCTGCAAATGGCAGGCACAGACGCTCCACTAGTGTGGCCTTCTAACCTTTGATACTTGAGGGGTTTTCTCCCCCATCTTTTATGCTATTTTGGTAGTTCTCAAAGTTGAGTGCACTGGCCTCACCCCAGAGCTGCTGACTCAGTAAGGGTAGGTAGGGCTGGAGGATGTGCATGTCTAAGGAGTTCCCAGGAGATGCTGGCGCCGCTGCTGCTCCGAGAGCACACTTTGAGAACCATTGCTCTATGTGATATTAAATATACTCGGGGAACAACATTTCCAAACCCAGCTTTTCCCAGAAGAGCTGACTGGGGTCAGCAGATGGTAGCCAGCTTAAGACAAGGTGGCGGGTATAAAAGTATGTGTCTGGCAAGCTCCCTACATCACTGGGGTTTTTCGTTATCTACAACGAGCCTCCTGAGAGAGTCTTTTAAGTTGGAAGGTGGCTAGCTGCAAAGGTAGGATCCCAAGGAAATTATAATACAGAGATTCTAAACTCAGAGCTTCAAATTATCACAAAATCAAGGTTTTAGAAAAGGGGGAATGGACACTCTGTTTCTTTCTGGCCAGGCGGCATTAAGAAGTCAGCCTGAGTGGAAGGTCTGGAATGCTAAGGAGGGGAGAGGCTGTTTTCAGTGAGGTGACTGCACTTTGGAGAAGAAGCCACAATGTGGATAGAGGTCTGTTGCCCTGGGTGAGTCTCTGGCTGGACCTAAGCATGCAGAAGAGGCACTCTAAGGTTGTGCCTCCCAGGCTAGGCTTGAGTAAACAGTTCTGGGCAGGGTTGGGGTGAGGCAGGTGGAGGGGACACAGTTTGCCTTTGCAGCCTCACCTCTGAAGGTCACTGTGCAAACTTCGAATGAATTCGCCTGCTCAATACCAAAATTAATTAAGTAGAGCATCCTCTGAATCTTAAATGGTTCTCTCATTCTCTCTCTGGACTTGACCCCATTTTATATTTTGTTAGGTTTTTAAAATCAGGTTCCATTATGAAGGGCTTTAAACAAGGTTAGAATCTACAAATGCACAAGGTGGAGAATACTGCCTGGTCTACCTGGTTTAAGAAACAGAAGTGGAAGCCTCTGAGAATGGAGAAGGCTTTGCTCTATCCCTGGGAGCAGCCCTGGACTTCCATCATCAGCTTTGTCCCCTTCACACTGGCTCTTCAGCAGCAGGGAGCAGTGGCTCAGTACATGGACTCTGGGGCCAGAGTGCCTGGGTTTAAACAGCAGTGACACAAATCACCAACAATATATGGATGGTATGGTCTTGGTACTTACCTGATAGGGTGGTTACATGACCTGCCTGCCTATGCAGAGGAAATGGAGGCACCAAGTACATCGCTAAATGCACATGGAGGGCTCAGGGCAGTGCCTGGCAGTTTCTACTCTGTAAGTGCCTGCTGCTATTAACGATGATGCCACTGAAAGGATCAAAGACCTAGGGCTTCAACAAAGAGCCAGAGTGTCTGACCTTGAAGGACACTGGGCTTGGGCTGTGCTCATCCATTCATTGAACAGATTTATTCAGTGTCTACTCAGTGTCAGACACTGAACTAGGCTGGAGGGCACAGCAGTGAATGAAGCTGGATGTCCCTGCCCTTAAGGAGCTTATGGCCAGTGAGAAAGACACAGATTCAGCAAAGATTCCCACTAGTCAATGAGTAATGACAAAATGAGATGATTCTCTGAAGGGATGGAATTCAGTTTGCTGAGTGCATGGAAGAGCTGTTACCTGATCTGGCCTTCTGGGTAGTGGGAGTTAGCTCTGTCTGAAACCTGGAGGACAGTCAGGTATCAGTGATGGAGTTTGGAGGCAGCTGGGACCCTTCTAGATAGGACTGAGCTGAATGAAGGCCCTGAGGCAGAGGCCAGAGGGATCTTATGGAAAGAGAGAAGAGGGGTACGTCAGGAGTGGGGAGGGGAGTACATGTCATTCATGGGTCCCACTGAAGTTAGTATGATGACAATTCTTTAAGCAGTTCTAAGGCCAGGAGTGGGAGGCATTCACATGATTTAGAAGTACATTTTGAAAAGAACATTCTGGTTATAATGTGTAGAAGAGAGAAGGTTGAAATGGAAGCTGGAGAGATTGTAGGGAGACCCAAAAGGGGTAGAAGCGGTTCTGAAGCATCTCCTGGAGTGCCTGTGACACACAGTTCCTACCAGCTTGCTATCCCCACTGGAAATTTTTTTTTTGAGACAGGGTCTTGCTCTGTCACCCAGGCTGGAGTGTAGTGGTACAATCTGTGCTCACTGCAGCCTCAAACTCCTGGGCTCAAAAGGTCCTCCCACGTCAGTTACCTGAGGAGCTGATGGGACAACAGGAGAGTACTGCCACATCCGGCTAATTTTTAAAAACTTTTTGTAGAGATGAGGTCTTGCTATGTTGCCTGGGTTGGCCTCCGGAGATTCTGATGCAGCAGGTGCATGGTGGTCCCTAGGATCCTGCTTTTCCAGCATGATGAAGTTGCCGCCCATGGACCATACCGTGAGTGGCTCTAGCTTAGAGTCCGTTCGTGGTAGGGGAGTTGGTAACTGGATGAATTCTCAGGATACAGCAAGGAGCCCTTTCTAAAAACATATTTTGTTTTGAAGATATTTGTCCCCAATCATAATTTAGTACAAATTTCAGAGATACCCTTAATGATATGGGGATGGGGTGAGGGATAGAACTTTACAGAAGCAGACTTGCCTTTCAGAATTCTAAGGTGATACAGATGCAGGTGGCTCTGGTTAACTCAGGCTCTATGTAACCTGACTGCTAAGCAAGGTTTGTGTGATGCTTGTTTTTGGTTTTCAGAGCAGGAAGAACCTTATACAAACACTGAGGTTACCCAGACTGGGCCCAAGTTAATCAGAGTGGCTCTGGATCCCTGTCCTATAGAAAGCAAGAGAGAGGAACATTCTCCTTTTTATTAGTGTTTTGAAAACGACACTAGCCAACCTAGCCACTCCGTCTTGAAAACTCTGGCCTGGGCTCTGAAAAATGGTGATGTCACACATAAGATTTAAGTTAGGCACAAAATGCTACCCCAACTCAGCGACCTCATTAGTTTTCCAGCTCTGCTGGGTCCATGCTTTAAGGACCTGGGGAAAGGAAGCCCATCTGTCAGCACAAGTAATGGAAAGTATTACCCCTGATGGAGTGTCTGGCAGATCAGTGCCCTAGGAGCAGTCCCATGCTTGGTTCTTGTCCAGCCCTCAGGTCACTGGGACATGCACTTATGGACAGCTGTGGAATTCTCCCTGGCTGAGAAAGGTGTTTGCTCTCCAGGGACCCTGGGACCATCTAGGAAATAGATGCATCACCTGTATATGTGGCTACAAAGAGCCTTCCTCTCTCCAGGAGTGCTCCTAAGGCCACCGTCCTATCCTATTACGAGGTCCTCCCTTCCCTCTATTTTGCCTATTCAAAGCTACCATCACCGAGTATCAAAACAAAGGTCCCAGCTCTGCAACCACTGTGTGTTTCAGCACCTAGGAGGAAATGTTCAATTGAGTGGCGCTGAACCCTCCTGATGGCCCATAACTTCATTTTCACAGTGGGAAGTCTGGTAGCTCCATTTTCTCTGTAGGAAGCTAATGTTACCAGGAGTGGCCTTTTCTTTAAAAGTGGAGCGTTTGTGTTGGGGGCTAAATAGCAGCCTCAGGAAGCCAGTGTCTGCAGGGGCGATGCAGCAGCCAGCCCAGACCCGGAAAGCCACATGCCTGGGTTCTGGAGCCGATGGTCCTCTGTGGCGGGGGTGTGGCTGCCTCACCAGTGGGTGCCCTTGCTGGTTCTGGAGCCGGAATGCTGCCTGTAGTGTGGTGCGGCCCTGGTGTTGTGAAGTAGCCGTTCTCTGATTGGCAACGGCCTGATTCACAACACCAGCTGCCCCACCATACCATGCTGGGGAGGTCTCTGGGTGGGCCGATGGGCACAGAGATGCCTCTGTGCTGCTGGATGAGGTGGAGAGGACAGAGAACAGCCAGAAGTGAGAACTGGAAAGCAAGCAGATGCCAACATTTCACTGCCCTCCCTAGCCCCACCTGAGAGACTTTTGTCATGACTTTTGTGAACTTCCCCATCCCATGGGGTCACCCCCATCCCATAGGGGTATCCATGGCTCCAAGGAGTCCTGGATCCTGAACACAAACTTACCTGTGTGTTGGTAGATCTGTCTTCAACAAATGCTCAGAGCCCTCCACAGCTTGAGTATGTCCACTGATGGGCCTTCATAGTATTTGATGATGACTTCACCTCCCAGAACAAAGTTTTTTCCCCACTGATGCTTTTCTGGGAGAAATGCAGGGAATCCCATTATTGTGTTGTCAAATATAGAAACCAGAGATGGTTCTTACTGCAAATTCTGGTTAGGAACTTTGCCTCGGCTGTCCCTCACCTCTTGATTTGTATGCTGTCCACAGTCCCCAAACCTGCAAGTCCATGCTTGGAATAGCTCCCATGTCTACTGAGGATGAGCAGGGTCAAAATGGAACCCCGTAAGAATGCAGAGCAATCTCCCTGACTCAGTCCTCTAGAGCCGGGAACACATTCCAAATAAAACGTAAGGGTGACCTCCGAAGATTTGAGGCAGTCATACAAACCAGTCAAAGCTGAGACTGGCTGAAAAGAAACCAGGTAGCCAACATGGAAACACTTAACTACCATGGTGCCTTCCTTTCCATCAGCAGGTGATCTGCCGGGTTGCTTCCTCCCCTGGCTTCAGCTGGTCCAGGATCCTGAGTGTCTGTAATAGGGAAACCCAGCAGTAAGATCACTTGGGAACTCTCCTTTCGGTATCTGCCTGGATTTCATCACCATTATGAAATTATGTAGCATAAACTTGACGTGAAAATAGCATTTGAAGTTTAATCCCTATTTTCAGGTGTCAATAAACACTTTAAATGAACAGCTCTTTGGCCCAAAATGGCTCCTGCCTGCTGTGTGGTTCTTAGTTACCCAATCAAGAAAAATCACATTTCCCACTTTCTGCCGTCTATCTTGGAACCCACTTTATTTTAAGGACACAAACTTGGCAAGTTCCTAGTACTGGATGTGGCATAGAAGTTCTGCCAAAGTTCTTGCCAGAGTCGGAGAGTTGGGGGAAGCAGAAACTTTGAGTAATTCATCAATCATAATCACCAGGTCATGTGAATCACCGTGGCCTTGGAGTTCAGAAATGTCTGGATTTTCCTATCTGCAATCAAAGAATCTCTGCTGGGATGTTAGGCTATAATCTCTACACCGGGCCTCTGTGGCCCACAGAATCCCAGGCTGGGAAGCTAGGTTCCCAGGCCAGGTTCTTCCTGCCAGGTTCCCAGGAAGGACATGCGACCAGATGTCAGCTACTGTGTACTGAGGCAGAAGTGCCAGACATTCTAGGTATTTCACACTCCTGAAATACTTGAATCTTTATCACACTCCATGAGGGTCATCATCTATCTCTCCTCACTGGGTCAGGAATGGGAAGTTCTGTAGGATGAAGGCACTCACGCAGTCAATGAGCAGCAGGAGGAGCCAGGGTGGAGAGGGGACACAGCTCCAGCGTAGCTGCCTTTCCCTGGTGGACGTGGACAAGTCCAGGTGCCTCTCCTGTTCAGATTGCTCATCTGTGAAGGTGAGCCCGGAGCAAATGCTAAGTCCACACCTCCGGCCCTGCAGGCTGGGAGACTGTTCTCTGGACATGCAGTGTAGATGAGTGGGCAGTTGTGTGGCACCATGGTTAAGTGCTGGGACTTTGGAAACAGGTGGGTCTGGGTATGCACTCTGACTCTAATTCTTCCTACCTGTGTTTCTAGGGCAAACCACTGAACCTTTCTGGGCCTCGATTTTATTATCTGCAAAAGAGTATAATAATAAGATCAGAAAACTGGGCATGCAGAAAATACTACATAAATGTGCATATTTGATGAGCATTGGTGTTGACTAATGGTTGGTTTTCCAAGCATTAGGTAGAGACCTGAAATTCTGGAATTTCTGTAGACTGTCTTGGGGACCAACCACCACTCACTTTGAGAATGAGCAAGTTCCAGAAAGCAGGATTAGCTCCTTGTAAAATAAAGCAAGGAGACTGTGAATTGCTGACCAAGAGAGTACATGGGAAGGTCATGCTGGCACCAGGTAAAACCTGTACAAACTCCAGTAAGTTAAACAACACAAACCCATATCCTGGCATTATCCCATCCCTGTGTCAGAGGGGCAAAAGGTGACTCAGGAATAGGTGAGAAGCTGAGGCCATGAACAGACGCCATCTGTAGCCAACTCTACTTTTGGTTTTGTTGAGCATCCACCAGTGCCCAGGAGGATACAGAGAGATCAATAAATCATCAACAAATGGCCATCATGTTTTATCTTTAAATGCTTCAAGGACTTGGCACCTTAAAGGGTAGGCCCAGGCATGGCAAAACCTCACACCCCTTCCTCCCCTAAGCCTCCCTCTTCTCCTCCTTTCTCTCTGTGCTTTTTTAACTTCTCATATGAACCATGCTCCCTCCCACCCCAGGGCCCTCATGCAAGCTGCTTCCTCTGCCTGGAATGCCTCTTTCCCTGTTCTGCATTTTGAATACCAACTCCTTCAGGCTTCAACTCCAGTCACTTCCTGGACCCCTAACCCCAGACCAGACCTGACTCCTCTGTCACATGCTTTACAGGTATCTGATCCTCTTCCTTCAAAGCACTTCTCAGGGCATGAGAGTGAAGTCTTCTCCACTTGACTCCAGCCTAATCCCTGGGTCCCCCGCGTTGGCCATGTGGGAGATACTTGATGAATACTGGTTGGATGAATGGATCATTTCAACCAAGACTCAATGGCCCAGCTATTCTTTTCTAACTGCTCAGATGAATCCCTCAAGAGAATAAATATGGCACCTAGTATTTTAGGGACATACACAGTGCTGTTCTGTAATGAATAATTTTACTTCAATCGACTGTCAGACCTCCTAACTCATCTTCCTGACTCCAGGCTAACTCCATGCTAATATGACTCACCCTCTCCTAAACTCCGTATTGCCCCAGGATAGAGTGAGTCCCAGATCCTGCAGCCTCTTTTCTAGCCTGCGCCTGCCCGGTGGTGCAGTGGTGCCCCCCTAGCATACCACGTGTACATGCTTCTGTGGATTTGAACCTGACTGGAAGGTCCACATCCCTTTCTATCCAGAAAACTCCTCTTTCTGCAGTCCCAGTTCTGGAGCCAGCCATCAGGGAGGCCTTCCTTGCCCCTTGCTCAGCTTGCACTCTTGGCCTGGCCTCTGACTCTTGTACCTTTTGTGTCCTTCCATTACCATTTACCTCTCAGTCTGTCTCAGTCAATGGTGACCTCGAGGACAGAAGCCATCATGGAGTCACTGGGCAAGTCAGCACCGACACAGCACCTGGAACACAGGGGCCTCCAGCCTGGATGTGCTTCCATTTCATGAGGAGGTCCTGCAAATCAGGGGGTGTGAGGGGACCATGATGGTAAAAATCTGTTCTTTGTGTCCCCTAAGAATCATCAGAATGACCAGAAAGTTTCAATATTTTGCCATATTAAGTGCATTTCTTCATCTCCATGGCCACCCAGACTCCCAGTGCAGTGCCCCACCACCTCTTGTCTGGTTCAGGTGATAAGCGGTTAACACAACCTTCCCACAGCAGCCCAATTGACTCTCTTAAAATATGAATCGGAAGATGTCTCTCTTCTGCTTCAAACCTTCATTTGCTCCCTATCACACATGGAATAAAATAATTCCCTGCAAAAGGCCACAAGGCCCTGTGGGTCCAGCCCTCCCTGCCCATCCACCGTCACTCCCCCCTCCTGGGCTCTGGCTGTGTTCTCTCAGATCTTGAAACATAGAGCAAGACCATATGGTGTCTTCTGCAATGTAAAAAAAAGCAGGCCTTTCTTGTGGATAGAGACTCTTTTGAGCTCAAGAAGATGTCACTGCCACTTGACAGGGTGTGTGACCTCCTGAGTAGCATGTGGGCTGAACCCCACCCCTCACCTGCCCCCGGATGGGGTGGCCTGCTGGAACACACCTGGCTCCCTCTCACCTCAGGGCCTTTTTGCCTGCTATTGCCTCCTTAAGGACCTCAGCCACTCCAAGGGCACTTTAAGAGAATGCAAAATATGTAGTATTCCAATAATCCTGTGCCAATTCTAACCAGGCCTTTTATCTTTTATTATTTTCCAATTAGTCTTCCTTCACTACTAGCTTGGGAGGATCAGGCCAGCTAACTCTTTTTTTTTTTTTTTTTAAACATCACATAATGATTGCTTGGTGTAGGCAATACCAAGGACATGACATTTTTCTAAGCTTTATAACATCAGAGGTCTCAAATCAACAAAACATTTTTCGCCTGTTCTTGAAAAAGATGACTGCAAGAGAAACGCGGATGTGTTTCCTCATCAACCACCTCCTAGGGTTATCACGGATCAGCATGAATTCCATTCAGAGTCTGCCATCAGCCACTGACTCTGGCCAGTTCAGGAAGCCTACACAATGAAGAATGGGTGATTCAGGGCTGGACCCCAACTCCAAGATCCTGGTTTAGTCAGCTTAGGAGTGAAGTCCAGGAATTCATCCCCCTACCCCAAGGATTCTGATAAACCAGATTTGGGAACTGCTGCTCTAAATCTAGGGCTTTGTTAAAACTGATGTTCCTGATGAGCCTAAGTATAGTGGGAGTCTCTGATGTGGCTTTGACATCTGAAGAAAATTAAATTTTGCCCATGTGGCCAGCACTGTTGGTGCCTAGCAACTCCGTTCCTATATATAGGGTGCAACTCTTGGCTTAGGGGCTTCCTTGGGTCAGGAATGGGAGCAGGAGTGTGTTCAGGCTGCGTGTGGGCTGGCTGAGTGCCAAGGAGTTAGCATTCCTAAGCAGCATTGACCAGTGACGGATAGGGGTTAGTGGATAAACACACGGCTCTCTGGTCCCCTGGGTGGGATAACCCTGAGGTGTGTTGTACACCAGCTTACAGAGGAGCAAGTGCCAGCAGCAGTAACTTTGATGGATAACCTTGACTGGCTCCCTTCCCCAGTCTCTTAAAACACTTCCTGGACCACCTCCCAACACTCAGCAGTGCAGTTAGTGTCAGTGTAAAGCGTATTCAAGTCCACTCATGGGTTTGAATGGGTGGATGTTTTGAATGGGTGGATGTTGTGCTGTTGCCAGGATGGAGCCAGGGTGAGAGGAGAGAGGCACCCTCCATGCTCATCCTGCTCTCGTCTGAGCCAGACCATGGGTGCTTCCTGAAATTTTTGCATTGTAGGCATCTTGCTTGCTCATTCCAGACCCACCCTGACATTCAGGAAATCAGAATATAAGACTCAGACAAGACAACCTATCCCAAGCAGATGTTTTCTAGGGTGTACTGTATCTGTGTTTCTTCACTGCTTTTTCAAAGACAATCACCTATATGGAGGACCTTTTGGCTTCCAAATTCTGAGGTATTAGGATCATTTACATGGTCAGTAAAGCACACATGCTGTTGTAAGCATTTAAGACAACACATCTATTTTAAGACAATGGCAAAAAATCCAAAAGGCAACCTGTAAACCCTGTTTGTTTTGCAGCCTATTAATAAATGAACAAAACAATCCATCTTGGCAGAAGCCTTCTAGGTGAAAAATAAAACTCCTGGTTCTAAGAGGCTGCCCGGCCTGCCGAGCCCAGCCTGGAGTTTATTAGCACAGTTAATATCACATGCAAATAGATTTCCCTGCTTCGGTCATGCCAGTCCATTAATTCAGCCCCTTGTCTGCTACATCTTTATCCTTGGCAGGTTAATCCTGCCAAATGCCTTTGCTGTAGCACCTGTCACGCTGTGCCTATGCCCAACAATGCAATTTTGCTAATCCTGTTGTATCAGCTTTGTGGCCCTGTCTGGTCAATCCAATGGTAGAAAAAGTGCATATAAGGTTTTTGCCAAGATCTTTCCACTACTCTGGCATCCACCCCTTCCTTTAAAAAAAATGATTTCAATTAAATGCTTTGAAAATCAACCGCAGTGTTGGACACCGGCCAACGGCCATGTCTTTCAGGCAAGGATGTCACGGCGCTCAGCATGCCTCCAAACCATTTCTGGCAGCCCCACCCAATGTCAGTTGAACATGATAAGTGAAAAGGGTTAAAACAGGAAGATCAGCTAAACATCTCTTTTCCAAGGCTGGAAAATCCTGTCCTGACACCAAATAGGTTTAACGTTCCACCCTCACAGTTACCATAAAAGACGTAAAGGGCTTGAGGATGGTTGAATGGAAAGCATGCCTATCACTTGTTATCTTTGGTGCTGTCCTCTTAAAGGCTTATGGCATCACTGACATGAATTGTTAGATGAGGCACATCCCTTCCTGCAGTCACCTTTGTCAGGTATTCACCTGAAACAGGGAGGAGCCGATTCTCCAGGCCCCACAGTGCATTGCTCTTCTAGTTCATGTCCCAGTGTGGATAAGTGCCTGGGTGGGCCTAATAGCCACATTTGCTCAGGCTCAAATCCCAGCTGAACCACTTCTACCTCTCTGACAACAAGCATGTTGCTTTACCTCTCTGGCCTCATTTTGCTCATCTGTAAAATGGGCATAACCATAGCACCGGCCACATAGGATTGCTGTAAGGATTCTTTGTTAATACACATCAATCACTCAGAACAGTGCTGGTACACGTATAGCAGGCTAAATGTAAGCTGATATTAGCATAGACTGGAAAATTGGTCAAAACTCACTGCCATTTGCACAGTACATATGCAGAATGCATGGTAAAATTCCACATGAGCATGTCTTTTAGGGTCTTCAGATATGAACTGTACTCTCTTGCCTGAGAATTACAGAAATCTGGCTGCAAGGACTCCTATCTATTCTCCATGCCTCCCACTGGCCTCTATGTTACCCCAGTAGCCTTTGGTGGATGTGAGGAAGCATTCTGGGGGCATAAGCGCTGGGCCTGTGATTAGATTCCCCAGGGCCTCAGTCCTAGGACTGTTGCTATGTGACTTCGGGCAAGTTACTTAACCTGTGAGACTCTTACAATCCCCACATTAGCGATGGCGAGACTTGGTTTTACACAGCAGGGTTACTGTGAGGATTAAATGAAAAAGTACACGTGAGATACATGGCATGCTGCTGGGAACACCGTAAGTGCCCCATAAATAATGGCTGTTATGGCTGTGGAGCCCCTGCAAAGCACCTGGGCTTCCCTCTCTGATTCTCCATCCATCTGCCTCCTCATCTCCCACAGCCTTCCTGTAGATGTTCTAAGAGTTACGTGGGATCGGGGAGGGAAAGCTGCCAGCACAGGGCCTGGCTTCCAACGCAGCTGCTCGAGATGAGGTGGTGCTCACTGCTGCTAAACCACAGTTCACCCTGGCTGATTTCTTGCTCCAATAGCCTCAGCTCTATACAGTTCTTTTTGTGTTACTCTAGTCTAATCTTTGCTAAGGCTTATGGGTGGCTTTTAGATGCTGGTGTGCATGTATACATTTGAAAGCCCCATGTTTGGATGGAGCTGAATGTGCATCCTGAGGTGAGTGCCTAGGCATCATCATGGTAACTGTGAGGGCAGGACATTAAACCTATTCGGTGTCAGAGGTGTTAGGACAGGATTTTTGCCCTCTGTGTGAAAAATGTTTTGCTACGCAATAGAGCTGTATGCTTCCCTTGCCAACCCAGCCACTGAACACTGCCTTTTCTCTCCTGCTTTTCCCAGGTGCTGCTGGAATGTCTAATAAATAAAGTCTTATGATTAGTTGGGAACTTACTATGTTTCTGCTACCAGTGTGGACGCTTCACATTCACTATCTTCATTAATTCTAATTGGGACGAAATAGTACTGTTTTACCAGTTTCCCACTTAAGGAAATGGAAGTTTAGAAATGACAATTAGCTTACCCATAGCTAGCAAGTGGCCACAGAGACCAGGGGCTTTCCAGGCTACAGGGCTACACAATACATCTTTGATGTGATGCCATTTCATCTGATGGGCATCGGAGTCAAGGGTGGACCTCCTGAATTACCAACTCTCTTTAGCATTTATTTGTTCCAAGGAATAGCTATGCCACATGCAATATTTTCCTTCTCCTTTTACTGTTTTGATGAATCTGGTACTCAAGTTTTTAATTTTTCTCCTAGGGAGAAGATACGGCAAAAAACAAGACTCCTTTTCTGTAGAAATTAGGAAATTCCAGCATCTTAGCACATTTCACCTGGTGTGCTAAGAGTACTCTCTTGCCTGCCAATGACAGAATTAGCTGCAAGGACCCCTGTGTAGTCGCCATACCACTCATTGGTCTATACATCCCAGTTCTAACCCTATACATCCCAATTCTGTTGCACTGATCTTAATCTAGTTTTCATTCACCAATCTATTGGATAAAATCCGTTTGCTAATTAAAACAGGATGGGGCCGGGCGCGGTGGCTCAAGCCTGTAATCCCAGCACTTTGGGAGGCCGAGGCGGGTGGATCACGAGGTCAAGAGATCAAGACCATCCTGGTCAACATGGTGAAACCCCGTCTCTACTAAAAATACAAAAAATTAGCCAGGCATGGTGGCGCGTGCCTGTAGTCCCAGCTGCTCAGGAGGCTGAGGCAGGAGAATTGCCTGAACCCAGGAGGCAGAGGTTGCGGTGAGCCGAGATCGCGCCATTGCACTCCAGCCTGGGTAACAAGAGCGAAACTCCGTCTCAAAAAAAAAAAAAAAAAAAAAAAAAAAAAAAAAGGATGGAATCAAGCTATTCGCAAAATTAGGAGTTCTGACCCTCTCTCTGGCCTCTGTGGTCCAGGTGAGGTCCTCTGAGACACATGTAGGTATTGCTTTGGCAAGAATTCATGCTGAGAAGACAGTCCATTCATCTTAGGTCTTGCTTAACTAGCAGAATGTAAACATCTCTGAACTTTGCTTACTGGATAAAAGGCAGCATTAGCTTCTCATTAGCTTCCCATTGCATTTCCTCCTGCAGGATCAATCACACATCCAGGCCAGACACGTGGCCCCTGCTTGTAATGAATCTTGGAAAGGCATAGCTCTTCTGCGGATGGATTGCTGTATCTGAGCACAGCTTTCAGAGGGGAGGGGTGAGAGAAATAAAGGCTGGAAGCAGAATAATAAGCACCAGTGTTTGAGAAGTCTGCTCTGTGCCCTGTGCTGCAAGCAGCTTTCTTTAGTGGTTGATTCACTGTCAGGAAATTTGCTTTTGCCTGAATGCTACTTAGCATCAGGGAGGGAATTTATGATTTCTTCTTTTCCACAGTGTGAAGTTGATGCCTTACTAAGTTGTGTTTTTTGTTGTTGTTGTTTTTTGGACAAATTGAAGTTGTCTAAATCCTATCTTTTGGGTGGTTCTAGAGTTATGCTCAATACTCTCAAACCTACTCACAAGGATTTAACTGTGACACTTTCATACAACGGAAAGAGAACTGCTTTTGATCTCGTTCTCAGAACTCTGCTTTTCTAATTCTTATTTGAATTTTAAATGCTTTAAAGTTGTTGGATTTTTTTCTTTTTTAAAAACTGTGGTAATCTCAGTTACCAGGCTGGTAGAGGGCAGCTGGGAAGGGAATGATAACAAGGAAGTGAAGATCCCATGAGTATTGATCATCAGAGATGGCTAGGACTTGAGGCACTAAGGATTGTCAGCTGTTTACCTTTACTGAATAGTATTTGTTGTTATTTTGGAAACCAAGCAAATTGCAGAGAAAACTTTATGGAAACTCAATTTACACAAAAACCACCTAGGGAGTGACGTCCTCAAAAGCTCTAGGAGGACTGTGTGAAAAGGCAAGCTTCCTTGCTGTCCCGAATATCATGTGTGAGACACATTTCATTTAAGGGTCATGCCCATTGTGTGAAAGGAGGTGCATCTGCATTTATCTCTGAAAAGGGATTTCTTCTGACAAAGCATTTCCCTCCCCTGCAAGCCTCAGAAGACATACAGACAACAGGGGGATTAAGATATATTGACAATGGGAGGATTATTTCCTTACCTGGTATATAACAAATGCCTATTAATAAATGAACAAAACAATCCTGTCTCCATTTTCTCCCAAACATCCCGACCTCATGGTCAGTACTCATGGGTTTTCTGACCTTGCTTATCCTGCTGTCTGCCCAGGACCCTGGGGGCAAACCGTCCAGGCAAGCCTGAGACTGCCGGCCCAGACAGAGGGGGCCCTTGGGCTCTGCCTGCAGGAGCAGGTAAGCTGTTCTCACTTCTTCCTGCATGCCTGCTTCTTTTGCCTTAGCTCTCACATTTCTGTTGCCAGAACTCAAAACGCTTTCTTGTCAGACAAAATGTATATTTGGAAAGTGGGTTGTTTGAAAACCTTGACTGGCACTGAGACCTCAAAGGCCTGGCTGGGCATTTCTGGTTAGTAGCAGAGACCTAATTTTTCTTTTTGAAAGTCCTCTTTCCTCCCACAGGCATTGAAGCCCTGTGAAATTTCATAGGCTGCTTCCCTTTCCACCATGATTGTAAGTTTCCTGAGGCCTCCCTAGCCAGGTTTCCTATACAGCCTGTGGGACCATGAGCCAATTAAACCTCTTTTCTTTATAAATTACCCAGTCTCACATAGTTCTTTATAGCAGCATGAGAACATCACTAATATAATATATTTGTATTCTCTTCTCACCAGCTATTCTCCCAAGAAACTCTCTTTTTAAAAAATGCAGCAACTTATATAGTTTTGGAGGAAGAAAACCCTTTAATAAAACATGGCTTCCTAGAATGGCAGTAAGGGGAAGTTATACTTCTGAACAAAACGAGTTACCTCAAAACTGCCACAAAATACTCAGGAAAAGGTAACCAAGAGCAGGCTTTTGAGAATGAATGAGTCACCCTCTCTTACACTCTGCAGCCTGAGCTGGGAGATAGTGGCACACACATGCTAACACCGGCAATGACTCACTTCAGTCTCACCTGAGACCTGTTAGATCTCCTGGCCATTATTTAGAGAAATCACTAGCAATATTGAAGGACAACTCACAAGTCCAAATCGCCCTATAGCTCTTAACCAAATTCTGGGGACTGGGAGCAGTCACCTTATGGGAGGGCCCTCTCCCAAGACTCTAGACCAAGGTACAGAAGTTGACATGACTGTTAACATCACTATTGGAGCAGCTCAAGGATCTGTTAGCCCCTGAGGAAGACACAGGTGAGCCGGAGCTAGTGAATTCCGGAATTCTGTACCAGACCCTCAAAAGAACCTCCAGTCCTGGGGGTAGGAGGCAGCTTTCCTGCAAGTGGAAGTGCTCACATGTCTGGGGAAGGGGCTTATTCAGATGCACAAACAGGAAGAATAGGAAAGAGAGAGACCAAGGCAGGGGATAGAATTCAAGGAGTCCATGCACCTTCCTTGGTAACACTATTTTAAAATAATTCTTTGTGCAATTATTTACTGACATAACTGAATGAGGAATACTTAGTCACATATCCCTGAGACTTTGCTCAAAGTAAAACACTTCCATAACTGTAGGCATTAATATTTTAATGTTGACACTTAAAGATCATATTCTGAGACAGTGTCTGAAGCATAGACAAGAGCAAGGACCCCTTCCCTGTGGGAATATGAATGCCAGGGAGAGGGAGGAGAGGAGCAGGGACATGAGTTGTGTCTCCAAGCCCCACAGCTTACACCCCCGACCTTGCTATGTTCTACAGCCTTCTAATGCTGTCCAGTGCTCACTCTGGGCTTGTTTCCTTAATGATAAAGTGGAAATAACAATACCCTTGAACCTCAAAATCAGACATCATGTGCCTGGCCCAAGGCCAGGGCTGCAGCAAATTCAGAACCTCATCATATGGCACAGAGAAAACCTACTGACCTGTCGGTGCTGCTGAGCCTCTCCATCCTTGTTCTGGACACAAACTGAGAAGTCCAATCTCATCCTTCATTCTGCAAGAAATTTTCATGAATTAGTCACCCTCTAGTCACCTTAACTTCAGGGCAAGCCATTTTAGACTCAGCAAAAGCAACCTTGGGACTCAGTTGAACTTCACAGGGGCCATGGAAGCTGGTCCACTATATCATGGACCTGCTGTCTTAACGCTGGCCTAAAAAACTGTCAGTGGGGGTGGATGGTGGAGCGGAGGGAGGGAGGGTGTGGTGGGTGGAGAGTTCTGCCTGCCTGGGCACTCAGTGCTGGATTCTCCCTGCACTTGCACATTCTTTGACAAAGTGACAGGGCACAGCTAACATTATCACACACCCTCAAGTGCCTCTTAGCTCGTTTCACATGATGCTTCTAGTGACATGCTTTTTTGAGTCTTTGAAGCATAGGTGGTGAGAGGATGAAGAGTTCTGTTTTTGGGCTGGGAGCGCTCAGACTCTATGTGTGTGTAACACCATCCTTCCTTCCCCCCTTCTCCCTCCCATTCTATATCACTAGAAAGAAAAAAGAAAAAGGATGGCATACTTTTTATTTATTTATTTTTTTTGAGACGAAGTCTTGCTCTGTCACCCAGGCTGGAGTGCAGTGGGGTGATCTCAGCTTACTGCAACCTCCGCCTCCAGGGTTCAAGTGATTCTCCTGCCTCAGCCTCCTGAGTAGCTGGGACTACAGGCACACACCACCACGCCTGACAAATTTTTGTATTTTTAGTAGAGACAGGGTTTTACCATGTTGGCCAGGATGATCTGGATCTCTTGACCTCATGATCTACCCATCTCGGCCTCCCAAAGTGCTGGGATTGCAGGCGTGAGCCACCATGCCTGGCCAGGATACCCTTTAGACAAGCACCAAGCCCACAACTTAGCTGATGTTATTCCTTTGTCCCCTGCTCCTGGGGGCTAAGGCAATAGCTATAGACCGGGGGGGCAGGAGAAGGGGAACTTTCAATTGAAGCTGAAGAGAAAGGGGTGAAATGAGAAAATCTTCAGCAAAGCCCATCTTCTCAGCTGACAATCTGCTTGCCCTTCAGTTCCCCTTGTCCTTGAGAGGCAATAAAAGGGGAAGTGAAAAGATGGGGACTGGGTCAAGGCTTTGTCCTCATTTTGCAGATGGGAAAACTGAGGCAGTGGCGCTTAAAGCAATCAATTAACCTTTGTGAAACCACAGGTTGGTAGGGACCACACATGTTTAGCAAACATCTTTAGCTTTCCTTTGAAACGAATGCTTTTCATTTTCTTGACTCCTATAATGGGTCCAGACCAGTAAAGTGAACATGAGCAAGTTAGCTCCTCCACAACATTGATTCAAACTAAGTTGGCAGGAGTGTTAAGGTGAGCATGCTGTACTTTAGGAGGTGTGAAAGGGGCTCTTGCAGGGACACTCTGGGTACCTGGTATAGAAGGAGAAATCTCAGCAAGGCACACCTAATGATGAGATGACAGTTTCTCCATCTGTAAAATGGGATGACATTCTCCTTGGCTGGTAGAGGGAATATAATATAATCCTTGGGCTCAATCAATAGTCACAGTAATTGGCAGTTCACCAACAGGTGCCTCTAATAAGCCCAGATACCATAGTGGGGAGTCCCCATCACCAGCTCTGTCACAAAGGAGCAGGACACGCTTGGCACATTCATTCTAAATTACACCCCTGCCCTCAGGGTCCATGATGCCAAAGGATGACGTATTAGTGGCACCCACTATGTTCTTGGAAGACGTTTTCTCCAGGATGCGGAAGAAAAATTTAAAAGGATCAAAATAGAGGTATCAGTTGATTCATAGCCAAGATAGGTTATATAGTGTTAGTAGTTGTAGAAAAAGCAAAGAAAAATAATGGAGAGGGGACACATTTACACAACTCATGTTGGTAGAAGAGCTGGATAGCAATATTGAAAAACATTTGATGCCCATTAGGTAACTGTGCCCACTCTGTCCCTGGCGGTTAAGTGCCTATCTCTGGCCTCTGACACATGGTGATTCTACCATCTCCACTGAAATCAGAGAGCCCACTTCAGTGGCAGCAACCCCACCAATGTGCCCAGCCTAGGGAGCTCAGTGATCTTGCAGGCCACTGGGACTCCATCACTGACAGACTGTGCAGGGCCTTGTTGAAGGGAGTATCGTCTGAGCCTGCTCCAGAGACAGTGTGAATGTGGGTGTACAGGGTGCACATAATAAATCTATTCCCATTCCCACATCCCAGCCTTCTAAGCCTTTGATTCCATCCTCTTACATGATGCCAAGGAAGTTTTGGAAACCTCAAAGAACGTAGAGCCACTAAGTCCCACTTTCTTCCAACCAACCAAACTATCTCTTGGAGCCATTTCAGGGAGACGCATTAAATTCAGGATCTCCCAACTCCATCCTTGGCCCAATATCCTTAGAATCAATTTCTATGCACATTCTTCAGGTCTTCACCAACATAAATTAGCAAAATCTTGCAATCCTTTTATAGGAATGCCCCTCTTGCCCTGGGAAGCAGATAACCCCCTTTTTCCCCCTTGGTGGAGGGTCTAGGCTGAGGCAGGGCTCCTGGGCTGCGACCCTCCTGCTCCTCTAGTGACTGCTGGTGTTTCTGCCTGTGGAACGGTTCTTCTGGAAGCAAACCTTGCTGACAGGGATGCTCTGCTCTATTTTGGTGTTTTGCCAGATATTTTACTTTGATTTAGAAATTGAAGAATCCTTCTGATCCTGAGAAGGTCCCAGAGGAAAGAACCTGAGGTAGACGCCCTGCAGCTCTCTGGCCTGACAAAACTGCTTTTCTGAATTAGTCTTTCCAGGTGGGGGCTGAAGGAAGACTCAATATTCATCTCCCTGGCACCTTAAACTCCCACCTTTATGCTCCCTCCAAATGCAAGAAGACTTGAATTGTTATCAAAGATAAACTGTGAAAAAGCAGCAGCAACTGAGTTCAGGTCTGCTGAGGAAGGCTCGAGATGGCTGGCTGAGCTGGAAGTTTCTGGAACCCCTGTTGCAGTAGCCCCCTTTCACCAAGCCTGACTGTGCCTGGTGCTCTACAGATCCTCTCTCTCTAAGCTTTGCAGCAATGCTGAAAGGTGGCCATCATTGTCTCCATTTAATGAGTGAGGAAATGGAGACACTGCCTTACTCATGTGCTTCCCCTGCCTCCACCATTCTCCCAGTGATAGTGATGACAAGACAGGGATGCTGGTGCACATTCCCCAGATGCTGAGACAACAGTGTGCCTCTGGATCATGATGGCGGGGAGTGGTCGTGGGCTTCTGGGTCAGTCACAGGCATTTGGCTTGTGCTTGAGCCATAGTCCTCCTGTCCCCAGGCATCTTCAGGGAGTGTGGGCCTTCCTTTCCTCACAGGCAGGCAGGTTGCCTGCTCTCCACCGCTTTTCCAAATGCCTCCGATGAAGAAGGGAGACCAATTCATGCCATTCCATTTTATTCATGTTTTAGAAGCACCTCTTTAAAACTTTAGTTTTGAAAAGCCTGGAATTGGCAGCAAAATGGACATTTCTGGTTATCCGGGAAGGTGAAAACTCACATGGCCTCTGAGTACATGAGAAAATGTATGATTCCTTCAGGGCAAAGTGATCCCCTGCCAAGTGGACTCAGCTCCCAGAAATCACGTTTTATGCTTTGAGACAAATCCCTGACCGGAATGTGCAAGGTTAAAACATTTAAAATAGGATTCAGCATCAGTGTACAAGTATAACCAGAAGGTTGTTCTCTCAAACTTTTTTTTTTTTTTTTAAAGCAAGCAAGCTCAATTCCCAAGTTACTGTTGGAAGCTTTCCAAAAGATAAGGCTTTGGCGTGGACTTTGGGTCAGACAGACCTGTCAGCCTTCCTTGCTCTGTCTTTCCTAGCCATGCAGGACCTTGAGCAAGCCAGTGAGCTCAGCTTCCTTGTGGGTGATCTGCAGACAGCAACCCTTTCAGAGGGTTTTTGTGCAGATGTGACCAGATGAGGTGGGGGAGAGGGAACGAATATGGGTTACATAGGAGAACACAGGAACCCAACACACCTTAGTTTTATTCCCCTTGCTCTTGGGACTTCCATTCTGAAAGATAATTTTTCCACACCTTCCAATAATTTATTTGATTCAACATCTAAAAAGGCTGGGTTCGATACTATGAAATTTGGTAAGCAGTGATTCCAAAAAGCAAACCAACAAGAAACATGTAAGCACCAAAGCTGAGTCAATGGTCTGGTCACTGCGACTGTGAAGGGACTACCAATGTAACCCACTAGACCTTGAATACAGAGAGATGTTGTTCACAATGATCACCAGACAGAAGTGTTCCCTGTTACCTACACAGCCGTAAAATTAGTCAGCAATTTCCAGTTAAAGCTCCTATTCCAAGCAGTAAGAGAATAAGCGAAAACCAAATCCTCGCAATCAAGCTTAAGAACAGGATAAGAGAAATAAGTACATTGCACATGCCAGTCGTGAGGAAGGTGAGGATTTAAATCCCTGGGTGATAGAATTCTGCTGGCGCTTCAGTTTTTATCCTACTCTTCAAAATTACCCCACACTGGGAGTTCAGAATGCAAAATTGCAAAGGCAGTGATGTGCGGGGAAATGAGATAACACAGCTCAGCCTGTGGGTTTTGCAGTGTCGGGTTTGTGTCAGGATGGAACGGACTGGAAAGTGTGACTATTGAGACACTTGCTGCAAACTTCCCAGTTGAACCAAAGACTTAGACCCCAGCAATGCAGCTGGCCCCTTCCACTGGAGTAGAAGCTGCCTGGCAAATATCTAAACACGATGTAATCCTTTTCCTTGTGGACCCAACTCTTAGAAATCATGTTTTATGCTTTGAGCCTAATTAACAACAAAGGGTCATCTTCTCTGGGCATCCTGATTTTGTTTTTGGTTCACTTTCAATTTCCATTATTATGAATCAAATTAGTAAGAAGGGGATTATGGACCAATCTTCCCCATCCCTCCCCTCCACACATAGATAGCCCCCTCACCCCCCATTTCTTAGGCCTTGCTGCGAGGATGAAATCTACAAGAGCATAAGTGCC